GGGGGTGGAGTGGGATGAGCCTAATGACTCTTTGTGGCTCAGAAAGCTAGCTAATTTCCAATGGGCATCATTAAGTTTTAGCTCACCCAAAAGTGTCACCTAGTGTATTGTGACAGAACCTGAGAGGCCAAGGGAAACTAAGCATCCTGGTTGATCAGTTATGTCTGTTACAGATTAGGGGTAGAGAAGTGCAAAGACAGACAGGTGGAATGCACCCTAGGAAATACCTTTTTTTTTTCTTTTTTTGGTTTTTCCAGGTCTCAAAGCATAACATCTTTTGACAACTTTTTGTTTATTTGTTTGTTTTTCAAAACAGGGTAGCTTCGGCTGTCCTAGACTCGCTTTGTAGGCCAGGCTGGCCTCGAACAGCGATCTACCTGCTTCTGCCTCCCGAGTGCCAAAGTTAGTCATGTACCACCACACCCAGCTCTTTTGACGGCTCTTAACATACTCTTCCCCCACCCATTTGTGTTATCAATGGAATTGGATATGTGAACTAAATTTTCTAAGAAGAAGTCATATCTTACATTGAACATTCCAGAAAAGCTAATTAGCTGGGCAGTGGTGGCGCATGCCTTTAATCCCAGCACTCAGGGAGGCAGAGGCAGGCAGATTACTGTGAGTTCCGGGCCAGCCTGGTCTACAGCCTGAGTTCCAGGACAGCCAAGGCTAAAGCAGAGAATCCTTATCTCAAAAGAACAAAAATAAACAAACAAAAAACTACAACTGATTAACTGATTAGAGTAACTTCTAATCATTGAAAACAATAATGGAGAGGTTAAAATGTTGCAGGCCTAGAGACTCCTTATAATTTATCTTGGGAAATCTTTACCCACCCCCGCATACCCCATATTTTTGAACAGCCGTTTACTGCCTAACTTGGGTATGACCTGACCTTCTTATGGCTATTAATTAAACCTTTTGGGATGTAGACTCCCTAGCTTCTATCACTCTGAAGTTAACAATTTTGTCACACAGTCACAGCCTATGCCAGAGGCTTCCAGAGTTTGCTGTAACCTACCTCCCTGACATACCCACCAATGCATTTGAAATGCATCTTAATGTATGTCGTTCTTTGCCCTGTTTCTATAAAAACATCATGAAACTGCTATATTGGACCATGTTGGAATAGCCACAGTCTTTGTTCCCAGACCATAGTCACTCATATTTCACTCCACAATAGTATCTTAGCCCCTTTGAGGAGAGAACTATCTTTTTCAGATTAATAGATACATTTTAAAATTACTATGTAGATTATAATTTCCCCAAATAGTCCCAATAGTTCAAATCTCACATATCCATCCAGAATTTACACAGTTCTCCATCAAGAAGTAGTGTTACACTCTATCCTTGAGCTTTTAGAAAGGATGGCCATAATCTCAACGAATAGTCCAATGTGGTGCCAGTGAATTATGAAGTTGGTCATAAGGAAACTTCCACACCTTTCTCTTGGATACTCACCCTGGGAATCCTGTCACAATAGCCAGGGATGCTAAGCTATGAAGCGATGCCTTGTACTTCAGGTCTGGCTGTGTGCGGTCCCAGCTGACAGCCAGCAGCAGCCTCTAAGTCATATGTGCACCTATTAGAAGCAGGTCCACAAGCCCGGGGGAGAGCAGCCAGCCTGACACTGCAGAGAACATAGATGAGCCTCAGCTGAGGCCTGCCCTAATCAAAGACACACAAAGTACATTATGGTTACTGTTATAGAATACCAGGTTCTACGGTGGTATTTTGTACACTGGACAATGGAAATAAGAAGGTCAGCCAGTCAGCAGTCCTGATAATTGTAATCCTCACATCTACACCCCAAAGTCTGTAGAATAAGTGACAATATATGAAAAGAAATTCCTGAAATAGGCAGCCTGGGGCAGCCGTAAGAGTGACACCCAAGGGCCGGCCTCAGCCCTAGCCCCAGGGCAGGAGACACTACAATAGCAAATTTGTGATGGAGAGATGGGAAAGACGAAGTATGCAATGGAGAGATGTCGAGAAAGAGCAAAGCCAATATATGCATGCAATATAGAAAGAGGTGGACCTGGAGATTCAGGCAGTGAGGAACAGGGGTATATGAGGAGCCTGTGCACCCATTTGAGGTCGTGGTGATGTCAAAGCCCTGGCTGCTGCCAAGGGTCATGTCTGGGTCTCTGGTACTACTGCAGTTGGGGTCTGCATTGATGTCCATAGCTTGAGTTACCACCAAAGGCCATGAGGACGTTTGTGGTCTGGGTTGCCTGCAGCCTGAGGCCATGCTGATGTCCCAGGACTGTACTGAGCTGGCTCTGCCCCTCACCTGCCATGAGAAAACTAGCCCCTCCCCTGGCCAGCCGCCACACCTGGGGGAGCTGGACCTGCTCCTCTCCTGGGCACTATTGGAGAGCTGGCTCTGGTGGCTAACATGAGTGCAGGAGAGCTGTTGCTACCCGTGTCTGCTGTGCAGTGCTGTGGGCATTGGAGGGATGGCTCCACCTGTGGCAGGTGTGTGAGCTGGCCCCCAAGGAAGTGAGCTGGGAAAGGCTGGCTCTGCCCCTTGCCAGATGCAGTACTTGGGAGAGCAGGTCTTGTACCTTGCCTACATAGCACAGAGCTGACCCTGGTTGCCAGGGAGCAGCAGATCTAGCCCTGAGAGCGAGAGAAAGCAAGGACTCATTTTACTCCTCACCTAAGCAAAGCAGAAGAACTGGCATGGGCTGACCAACTCAGCTTCTACCCAGGCCCAGATCCAGGGCTTTGGGTTGGCCCACCTGAAAATCTACCCCATCTCTGAGCTGCTGGAACATGTGAAGGAGCTGGTCCTGCTGGAGGAGTCCCTGTGAGGAGCCAGTAGTGATGGTGCAGCAGAGGCCAGAGGCCTCGAACCAGACCAACAATTTATTGCATTGAACATTTACAGGTACTGTGTGATACATCATGACACACCACAGCTTCCATCTATCTATCCATCCATCCATCCATCTATTTTGTTTTCTTCTGGGGAGATGCTGTCGGAGCAGAGGGCCAATATGAAGAGATGAGGGGATAAGTAGAGTTAGGGTACATGATGTGGAATTCACAAAGAATCAATAAAAAAATTTAAAAAAAATTCCTGAAATAATAGTGGAACAGTAGAAACTGTGTCACTAATTGTTTTAGTCACCGTTCTATTGCTTTGAGGAGACACCATGACAAGGCAGTTCACAAAAGAAAGCATTTAATTGGGAGGTTTAACTCAGAGGCCTTGTCCATTACCACCATGGCAAGGTGCATGGTGCAGACATGGTATTGCAGAAGTCATTGAGAGCTATATACTGATTTGCAAGCAGCAGGTAGAGGAAGAGAAACACACACAGACAGTAACACTGGGCCAATGATGTGCTTTTGAAAACCTCCAAGTCCAAGCTCAACAACATATTACTGCCAACGGGACACACCAATTCCAACAAGGCCACACATCCTAATTTGTCCAAACAGTTGTAGCTTGTAGCTAAGCACTCAAATATATGAGCCTATGCAGGCCATTGTCATTGAGACCACCACACTAACACAATTTACTTTTTTAAAATTTTCAGTAATTTGTGTGTGTCTCATTGAGTGCATGTCACATGTGGAGACTTGCAGAGGCCAGAGTCAGATTCCCTGCAGCTGGAGTTACAGGAAGTTGTGAACAGCCTTACCTATGTGCTGGGAATCCAACTTGGTCCTCTGGAGGAGCAACGTAGGCTCTCAGCCACATGACAGCTCTCCAGCCCCATCACCAATATGTTATTTACAAAGGACAATACTGTGATCATGAATACTAATGACTTTGAATTTAAAATTTAGAAAACACTAAAACCAAATTTTTTTAAGTGACTTAAAGGGTCAGACTCTGGATATTAAAAAATACGAAACCAGGTGTGGTAATCCCAGCGCTTGAGAGACAGAGGCAAGCAGATCTCTGTCAGTTAACGCCAGCCAGGTCTACACAGCAAGTTCCAGAATAGCCAGGGCTACATGGAAAGAAAGAAAAAAGAAATCTGAGGGAGTTGAGCATGATGGCACACACTTGAGGTAGAGGGAGATCAGGAGTTCAAGGCCAGCTGGGTTCAAAAGCATAAAATTAAAAAAAAAAAAAATGAGGATAAGTATACCAAGTTACTTTTGTGCATTTTCCTTGAAGATTGCAAAATTTAAAATATGCAAATTATAAAATCAATATCTATTTGTTATAGTGTGTGCTGAACATGTACAAAGCCTTGGGAACAATGCCTGATACTAAAAATAAACTAACAGAAAGCAAGTATCAATTGATAAGAAAGCATGATACCTATGTCATTGGTGGCAGGTTTTTTTTCCTCTGTGGTACAAGATAATTCTACAAGTGATGAGTCATAGATTTAATTATATATATATATATATATATATATATATATATATATATATATATAAGTTGTTCTACTTAAGCCTTTCCATATCATCAATAACAAATATCCCTAAGCCAGACTTTCATATATTTTCTGTTGTTTTCTTTGAACATTGGGGGAAAAATCCAAGCGGCCTTTTTAAAGGTCAATTGTATTTTTATTGTATTATACCTACAACCTTGTCCCTTTTTAAATGTGATTTATACTTGCACGTGTGCGTGTGCCTGCGTGTGTGCCAGTGGTCAAGGCTGAGTGTCTATCTCTTTCCACCTTATTTTCTGAGACAAGTTCTCAGAATTCAGGTGTTTGTCCTCGCATGGCAAGCACTTAACCCACAAGCCATCTCCCGAGGAGACCCTTCCCCAGCTGTTTTCTAGAAAGCATTTCAGGAATAAAGAGCTCATGAGTTTTGTTACTATGAACGTTAGGTGGCTCTGTTCTTTTGATGGAGCTGGGGGACACAAGGTTTAATGAATGTGTGATCAAGGCAGTCCTTCCTGAGGCTCAGCTCCTGATGTGGGCTGCAGACAGAACAGTGAACTAAGGTGTAATTAATATGAAGTAAGAAAGGTGAACAAGGCAAAACTGACTGTAGGGCTACTATTCAAAGACTCAAAGTTCCACAGACTTTAGAAACCTATTTATTTAAAAAATATATTTAAAAAGTTTGACAAAAAGGTCTAAAAAAAGAAATCATTCCAATCTCCAACAGCTCATCATCACTTACCACAGCAAAAGACAACCAAGGCCTATATTTGAGTGAAAGAGAGATGGTTTTAAGCCACAGTATTTTACCAGTTACACTGCTGAAAACAGTTCTCCAAGCTGTCCAGTGTTCTGTCGGTACTTTACAAGCCAAATAAAGTGATTCCTACAACCTGGAAACACTAAAATGAAGCAGAAATGTACAGAGAATATATGGAACTCTGGAGATACAGAACAAACTTAAAATACAGTTAAATACTGACTTTTTTTTTTTTAATTTTTAAAAATTTAAATAATTTTTTTAAATTTCTAAGAATGTGCAAGTATGTGAGAGTAACATTGCCCAATATAGTCAGAAGATGTATCAATGCCCTAGGGCTGGAGTTGCAGGGGCTGTGGGCCTGCATAGATAGGGGACACCAAACTGGGGTCCTCTGCAAGAGCATCAGGCACCTCATGACTGAGCTATCTCTTCAGTGACAGCTCCTAACTGTTTTTAAAGTCAGGATCTGACTATGCTGCCCAAGCTAGTCTTGGTCTTCTGGGCTAAACTGATCCTCCTGCTTCTGTCTGTTAAGTAGCTGGGACCACAAGCAAATACCACAGCACCTGGTTTCTTTCTTTCTTTTTTTTTTTTTTTTAAGTAGAAATGTGGGGAAAAGAAACTAAGGCTGGTCCTGGTATGTGTGACACCTTCATGTACAGTGACATGCCGGTCAGGCCACCAGCCAGCGAAGCTAGAGGCTGGCTGGCATTGTGCCTGTGGCCGTCATTCATCATTCAAATCCAGCCGTCTTCAATGAAGCCAGAGGAGCAGAGCTCAGCTGGAATTCTGTGAGTCACCCTCTGGAAGATTTCAAGCTCAAAGCCTTGGGTCAAACTGTCTGGAGCTTTGTCACAATCAGCACTCGCACCGTCTGGTCAAAGGAACTGCAGATGCAGAGTCCCCTTTTGTCAGGACTCCAGTCCACACTTGAGATGGGCTGAGTACACAAGGTCACATTCTGGAGAAGGCTGACGGAACCTGCGACTCCCATCTCCACTCCCTCGGAGTCTTTCTTTGACCGCTGCGTAGGGTATTCACTAAAACCAAGATCAAAGAGGAAAGAGACAAATCTTGATATTCACTTTTTTATCTTACTTTATTTTATTATTATTATTTATTATTATTTTATTATTACTTTATTTTATTATTATTGTTATTATTACTTTGGTTTTTTGAGACAGGGTTTCTCTGTGTAGCCTTGGCTGTCCTAGAACTTTGTAGACCAGGCTGGCCTTGAACTCACAGAGATCTACCTGCCTCTGCCTCCCAAGTGCTGGGATTAATCACATGTGCTGTCACCACTTATATATATGTTTCATATATAAGCTTCAGTGACTTTTTATTTCTCAGCTGGCTACTGAACCAGTACTTACGACTTTCCAATGTTAACCTGAGTAAAGACAGAACCCCAACAACTGCCTAGTTCAACATAACCCATCAATGGTTACTAATCCTGCAAACTTCTGCACAGCACCCTGTTCAGCTCTGCCTTGGGAGTCTTTTTTACTATGAGTACTATAGGTCGGTCTGACTTGGTGCTCTCCATAATCTTTTGTTGTAATTCTTTCCTAAATTTGGACTGTCAGACACCATGGGCAATGCGTGTAAAGGGAAAAAGCTGTAAGGAGCATTTACAAAAGCTTATTTAACACTTCCACAAAAGAACTGGTATAATGCTCTGACCCCAGAGTTCACCATTCAGACCCAGCCTGAGGACTTTCTCTGCACTATTACTACGGGACTGCCACTGGGAGAGATAAACTGCCTTCACAGAGGAAAAAGAAATGATAAGAACAGTTAAATTTTTTTCAGCTAAAAATACAAAAAATTAAGCTAAGAAAGGCCAAGAACTAAATAATATCTGATATGGATGTGAAAGGTAGAAAAAAGAAATAGCATTGTCTATGTTTTAAGGTATGTTCTAAGGTATGTTCCCCACCCCAAGACCCTTTAGAACTCACAGCATATCAATTATGACACTTTGTGAATGCAAAAAACCCACAACCAACCAGGCAAGGAAACAAAAAATCAGAGACAGAGTCTAAGAGACACAAAGCAATCAGACACAGTAGAAATGGAGGAGAAACCACAAGTGGAAAACACTTTCTCTTCCTTTTAGACCCAACAAATTATTTTATTTAAAAGGAACAAAATGGAGCTGGGAGGTGGTGTTGCACGCTTTTAATCCCAGCACTTGGGAGGCAGAAGCAGGAAGATCTCTGAGTTTGAGGCCAGCCTGGTCTACAAAGTGAGTTCAGGACAGCTAAGGCTATGTAGAGAAATCCTATGTCAAAATACCAAAAGAACAAACAAACAAACAAACAAAAAGAACTAAACCTAAAATACACACACACACACACACACACACACACACACACACACACACACACATTAAATGGATACTTTCCTACGGCTGGAGAGATGGCTCAGCAGTTAAGAACACTGACTGTTCTTCCAGAGGTCCTGGGTTTAATTCCCGGCAACAATAACCTCTCCCTAAAATAAATACTTTCCCCACATCTCTTTGCAGAGTGTAAAGTTATTGAGCATTAAAACATAAGGCCGATGTGTGGCTGTGTGCACCTTTAATCCAGCACTCAGGAGGCAGAGGCTCCATAAACCTGAGCACAGCCCTGTCCTCAGCCCTGTAGGTCAGTCAGGGTTACAGAGTGAGACCATCTCAAACAACAACAACCAAAATGTAGGTATTTAGTTCTAACCTCTCTACATTATCTACAAAATATTTTTTGCTTGTTTGTTTTTAAAGTCACCTGCATTCCTCTCTAGGAATGCCTGTGTAAGAGCTCGGTGAATGCTTACAGTCTGACTATCAAGATAAGAGTGGCAAGCGGAATCCAAGCTCAACTGCATTTTATTTCAGCTACTTCTCTCTGCTGACACAGGAAGGCTTCACAGCAAAGCTCTAAAGCATTTACAGGGTGTGTGTGTTGCTTGCTGTGCTAATGACTGGTGCTCACTTCAAGATAAAACTCCAAAAGTCAGGAGATCCCCCTGTCAATAAAGTGCATCTTCCACAAGCATGAGAACTGGAGTTTGGCTCTCCAGAACCATGTCAACACGGGCTGCCTCGGTGCTGTGGCCTGTGCTCTTGCTCCTTGGAAGGCAGTCAGAGCAAGCTGTTCATCCCTGGGCCACCCAGGCAGATAACCTAACCAGAATCAGGGAGCCCCCAGTTCAAAGTCAGTGAACAGGCATCAACAGACACCTGACATCGGCTTTGGGCCTCCATATGGACACACACACACACACACACACACACACACACACACACACACACACACGAACGATACAGTGGTTAATTTTTTGGGGAGAAAGCCAATAAATTAACATAAAGTGAAAAAAAAATCTAGCTGCCACTGTGCCTATATGTGGAAAATTGGTGCTGGCTCTTTTAAGCAGTCTCGAGAATTGGAGGATCAAGGAAACAGGCATGGCTTAACTAAGGAGACTTGGCAAAGCCTAACCTGTGGAGGGACTGAGTTAGGACTACAAAAGAGTAAAGGACAAAGGTTCTAGAATCAAAGGATCTATCTACCCAACATCTTCCCCAAATACCTAAAATATTTCTGCTCCTTACATTGACAGAAAACATATTTTAGTGAAGCAAGGTCAGATGGAGTATATTAAAACGTTTCAACCAAAAGCAATCACAAGTTTGTCAGTTAAGAGCTTCAACAAGTAAGTACTTCTGTTGAATAGAACAAGTACTATTCAATGGCCACCCTGAGTTTTAACTTCTACAATGAGCTTAGAGAAGCATTTGTAAATGAGAAAGTTCAAGCCATACTGAAAATGTTTTTGTTTTCTTTTTTATATTAGTAACCAAACTTTAATTTTAAAATATCCTTCAATTGTGAGCTTGTTATTTTCTGAGTAATGCTTAAAGATTTTGTTGTTGTTGTTGCTAATAGTTTTCAAACTTTCAATTTGTATATAACTCACTGAACTGGCAGCTGACCTAGCTCCTCAGTGCCCCACAGGAATCATGGAACATAGCACATGGTTATAGCTTCCACAATAACCCAACTTGCCTCATTGTACAAAAAAGAAACTCGGTGGTGAGGCTTCATCTGGAGACTAACCAGGGAGCCTGGGGCTGTCTTTAAACTACAATGAATGTAGCAAACTCATTACCCACAACTAAACATTCTGACCCTCTTCCCAACTTCCAGAGGTAATGTTCTAATGACTAGAATATAGTACTAACAAAAGTCATGAATCAAATTAAAACCAAAAGCTAGCAAAAGGTACCCCCCTCCTCTCTCCCTCCCTTCCTCGATTCATTCATCTTTTTATTTATTATCTGTGTTTTGAGACAGGGTCTTACTTATAGCCTAGACTCACCTGGAACTCATTATGCAGTCCAAGCTAGCCTCAAACTCACAGCAATCCTCCTGGCCCTGTCTCCTGAGTGCTGGGATTATAGGTGTGAACATGCCCACCTACAATTTCAAACGTATGGGGGGGGTGGAAAACCCCAAATGTTCCTAAGAAGTTCTCAAATACAGAGACATGACTATGACAAATACACTCATTGTGTCAGATAAGGGTCACTTTCTATTGAATGCAAAATAAATACATTACTATTTAAATATTTAAATATCAAATGTAAATACTATTAAATGTTAATACTATTTAAATATTAAATGTAAAATAAATACATTACTATTCTCTAAAAATATTTAGAGAACCAGTTATATAACACCAGGAAAGTAAACATTATGCCCAAATGAATTAAATCAAATATTAAAGGAGAAAAAGAGACATTCATCACCTCCTTCTTCACACCAGAGATAACTTAGTAGGACTTACTACTTCCATAGGTGCAGACTCCCGGCGCCTCCTGCAGTCAGGAAGACCTCTCTGTTCTGAGGTAGGTGCCGAACTTGCCAGATGGTAGACTTATGAGCCTAGTCAGACCAGACATACATGATGGTTAGAGACCAAGTGGCAGCACTGAGGAGTAGGATCGAAACAAAGAACTGTAACCCCCTCTTCCACTGTTAGAAAAGAGCGTTTTATTGCTGCTTTACCGGGCACTTTGCTGAGGACTATAGTCTGGGTTGGCAGTGGGGCCTGTTGGAGCCTTTCTGATCGTAAACGTTTTCATTAAACCATCAGGTACTGTGGCCAACTTTGTAAATGACCTGAGTCTTCTCTTTCATAGTGTCCAACACCTTTTCCTTTGTCTGTTTTTAGTGTTTTAACTATGATATTTCACAGTCTTCTCGTCCTCTGTCCACTGGTCCTCAGGCTCCTGCCTGGGCACCTCTTTCCTAGACTTGGACAATTGCCTAAGATTTCAGTGAAAATATGCCTTTGGTACATCCTGTCCAAAATCACTTAAAAATGGATCAAAGCCCTTAATATAAGAGAAAAACTGTGAAACTGCTATAGAAAATATAAGCAGAACAACTGAAGATATGGGCGTAAGCAAGGCCATTTCTCCAAGAATTGAGGACAGGATCACATGTTCTTAAAAAGCTTCTGCACAGCAATGGAAACCATCACAGAATGAAGAGATGCCTCATAGAACAGGAATTAATCTTTGCCAACTATCAGGCAGGAAACAAGTACCTAGACTATTTAAGGAACTGTAAAACATGAAGCAATAAAGCAAAAAAAAAAAAAAAAAAAAAAAAATCATCTAATAAACAAATAAGTTAATGTTTTCAAAAGGAGAAATGCAAATGAGCAACAAATCCTTGAATGTGTTTGGCACCTTCAGCCATGAAGGAAATGCAAGTTAAAACTGGTCTGAGACTTCATTTCACCTGTTACAGAGACTATTACGAAGAAAACAAACAAGCTCTTTCTGATTGGACTGAAGGCCTGCTTCACCAGATGGAACCTAAACCCGACATCAGTAACGGAACCCGAAAGAAAGAAAGAAAGAAAGACAGAAAGAAAGAAAGAAAGAAAGAAAGAAAGAAAGAAAGAAAGAAAGAAAGGAAAAATTAAGGTAGAATTACTGTGTAATTCAGCTATACCGTAACTCCTGGACCCCGAGTCAACACATTACAGAGATAACTGTAGTCCACATTTATTTGTAAACTATTCACATAGCTGAGAAACAGAACAAGTCAGTGGATGAAAAGGTAAAGAAAATGAAGTACATACACACAATGTAATTTTATTCCATCATTAAAAAGGACAAATATAGGATGTTTTCTCTTATATGCAAAATCTAGAATTAAATTTATATGTGTCTATGTCTGTAAAAAGTAAGAAAGGAAGGGAGAATAGTTAATAAATGGGGCAGGGGCAAAAGTGAGTGTAAGAGAATACACAGGACATGGAAGCAGGGGAAGAGAATTTGATGGGAAAAACAGGACCAGAAAGAGGTAGGCAGGGAGCTGAGAAAGACGCTGGAGGAGTAAGCTGAATAACAGCAATGTATAAGGACATATGTTTCAATATGCTGTATTTATTTTGTAACTAATACTTTTCTCATCTGGCTTTTGACTTAATTCAGTTATTTAAATGTTAATATATCACATATTTTAAAATTAAAATGCATTTCTTTAGGAAAATAAAGATAGGCAAATGGAAAAGGCTAACAGTTTATCAGTGCCTTACTCCAGCATGCTGGTTCACCTTGGGGAGTCATGAGGAGTGAGAGCTGAGCAAGCAGGAAGGAATGCAGGGAAGCAGGTGGATACAGGAGCGGGCAACCTGCTTTGTAGAAGCCTGAAGCTGTAATCTAATCTAAGTCGCTCACTTCATATTTCAGTGATTACTAATTTGTAATTTTATTTTCAATTATGTGTATATAATTGGGATATGTTATTTTGGGATTATGTGTATATAATTGGGATATAAGTGGGAGTGGGAAGTGTCAGTGCATGAATGCAGTGCCTGAGGAGGTCAAAAGATGGCACCAGATCCCCTGGAGCTGGGAGTTGTGAGCAGCCTGGCATGGATGCTGGAAACCTGCCTCAAGTCTTTTGGAAGAGCAGCAGGTACTCTTAGTTAATGAGCTATCTCTCAACTCCCAAATGATAACTCTTGTCATTGATTTGACTATTCATTGGAGAGCATTACCATTAGCATATAAAAACACAAATCTCAAAATATATACTTTAGGTGTATGAGAAGCCCCAGTGATCAGGTTCAGACTGTCCAAATGAACTTGGAAGAATACTACTATATATAGATAATAAGTGACTTACAAATAAAATATGGAACAACTTAACAATAGATTGAAAGATACACTTACTATATTCTGAAATGACACTTGCAAAATAGTGTTATAATTTTAGTTACCTTGTTATGAATTTAGTTCATCTGGCACTGGCAATCTATGCTCAACAATAAAAACTACTGTATCATTAGAGGACACAAGAGCTTCTGTGATATCCCATAGCTTCCACCATGGGGGAAGGAATCCCACAGCATCCACAATGACAGGTAGCAGGAAAGGAATGAAAGCCCACTGCACCCTCAGTGGAGGAAGGAATGGAAGGAGCATCTTATTTCCTGAGCAACCTGTACATCTGAATCTAATGGAAACAACCACCTACAGCTGCTCTCCTTATGTTTAGGAAAGAGGGTCACATTCCCACATGTTTCTTGCAAGACCGGATGTTTCTGTGTGGATTTCATGTAGCTACTTTATTCTTGATTTCTTCTCTTTGTTGTGACAAGTATTTTCCCCTTGTTTTCCTTTCCTTATCTATTTTCTAATCTTCCTTACTAAACTATCTCAAGTAGAAGACAAAATATACACAACAGACATTCTTTTTTTCCTTGAAGCCAAACCTTAATTTTTTTTTTTTAGAGGTTGACGGAAATTTTTTTATTATTATTTTTTTATTAATTACACTTTATTCACTTTGTATCCCCCCATAAGCCCCTCCCTCCTCCCCTCCTGATCCCACTCTCCCTCCCCCTTCTTCACACATGCCCCTCCCCAAGTCCACTGATAGGGAGGACTTCCTTTTCTTCCTTCTGATCTTAGTCTATCAGATCTCATCAGGAGTGGCTGCACTGTCATCTTCTGTGGCCTGGTAAGGCTGCTCTCCCCTCAGGGGGAGGGGATCAAAGAGCAGGCCAATCAGATTATGTCAGAGGCAGTCCCTCTTCCCATTACTATGGAACCCACTTGGACACTAAACTGCCATGGGCTACATCTGTGCAGGGGTTCTAGGTTATCTCCATGCCTGGTACTTGGTTAGAGCATGAGTCTCTGGGAAGACCCCTGTATTCAAATGTTCTGGTTCTGTTGCTCTCCTTGCAGAGTTCCTGTCCTCTCCAGATCTTACTATTTTCCCACTTCTTACATGAGATTCCATGTACTCTGCCCAACGGTTGGCCATTAAGTCTCAGTGTCTGCTTTGATAGTCTGCAAGCAGAGCCTTTCAGAGGCCCTCTGTGGCAGGTTCCTAGCTTGTTTCCTGTTTTCTTCTTCTTCTGATGTCCTTCCTCTTTGCCTTTCAGGATGGGGATTGAACATTTTAGTCAGGGTCCTCTCTCTTGATTAGTTTCTTTAGATGTACAGATTTTATCCTATATTACATGTCTATATGAGTGAGTATATACCGTGTGTGTCTTTCTGCTTCTGGGACAGCTCACTCAGGATGATCCTTTCTAGGTCCCACCATTTACCTGCAAATTTCATGATTTCCTTATTTTTCACTGCTGAGTAATATTCCATTGTGTAGATGTACCACAGTTTCTGCATCCATTCTTCAGTTGAGGGGCATCTGGGCTGTTTCCAGCTTCTGGCTATTACAAATAAAGCTGCTACAAACATTGTTGAGCAAATGTCCTTACTGTGTACTTGAGCCTCTTTTGGATATATGTCTAGGAGTGGTATGGCTGGATCTTGAGGGAGCGCTATTCCTAGTTGTCTGAGAAAGCCCCAGATTGATTTCCAAAGTGGTTGTGTAAGTTTATATTCCCACCAGCAGTGGAGAAGGGTTCCCCTTTCTCCACAGCCTCTCCAGCATGTGTTGTCACTTGAGTTTTTCATCTTGGTCATTCTGATGGGTGTAAGGTGAAATCTCAGGGTCATTTTGATTTGCATTTCCCTAATGGCTAATGACGTTGAACATTTCTTTAAGTGTTTCTCTGCCATTTGATGTTCCTCTACAGAGAATTTTCTGTTTAGCTCTGTTCCCCATTTTTTAATTGGATTACTTGGTTTGCTGCTTTTCAGCTTCTTTAGTTCTTTATGTATACTGGATATGAGTCCTCTGTCAGATAAAGGGTTGGTGAAGATTCTTTCCCAATCTGTAGGCAGTCGTTTTGTTTTGATGATGGTGTCCTTTGCTTTACAGAAGCTTTTCAGTTTCATGAGGTCCCATTTATTGATTGTTGCTCTTAGAGCCTGTGCTGTTGGTGTTCTGTTCAGGAAGTTGTCTCCTGTACCAATGAGTTCTAGGGTCTTCCCCACTTTTTCTTCTAACTGATTTAATGTGTCTGGTTTTATGTTGAGGTCTTTGATCCACTTGTACTTTAGTTTTGTGCAGGGCGATAAGTATGGATCTATTTGCATTTTTCTACATGTAGACATCCAGTTAGACCAGCACCATTTGTTGAAGATGCTATCTTTTTTCCATTATATGGTTTTGGCATCTTTGTCAAAGATCAGGTGTCCATAAGTGTGTGGGTTTATTTCTGGGTCTTCTGTTCGGTTTCATTGATCCACCATTGCAACAGAATATTCTTGAGTAGTTACTACTGCTTAATCATAGTATCCAGTGTTTTAGAATAAGTTCACATAATACAGCAAATGAGAATATAGAATAAAAAGGGATAAGATGACATAGTGAAAATGCTATTTCTGGAATGTTCATTATTAGTTATTATGTACTTATTAGAAAACACCAGGTTAGGTTGGGATTTCCTGATCAAATTCTTGGCATAAGCAAGATTTCTTTAACTACAAAATAAGATTCCTGGCTAACCAAAATAGTTATTATAATCAGGAAGTATAAAGCTTGCAACCTTTGGAAAGCAACCTGAACAAAAATATATAAGATCCCACAAGTGTGTGACAGACAGAGGAAGCCTGGAGATTCATTCTATGAACAAGTAAAAAACAAACATCACCCCTCTCCATAGAAAGGAAGTCCCTCATATTTACCTTTTCTGTAACAGAAGCAAAGCCTTTGGTGGGATGCTGTGTTCTCATGTCAAAGACGTGAAACTTCCCTTCCAGAGACGTAGCTACTAACTTATTCATACTTATGTCCTTTCTGTCAAACTCTAAGCTACACACCTGAAAGAGAGAGTAAGTTTTTGATAGGCTCCTATGTTCTTTACTTTTAAAAATATGCGTATGGGTATTTTTTGCCTGCTTTCATATATAAGCACCAGGTGCACACGGTGCCAGAGAGGCCAGAAGAGGGCGTCAGACTCCCTGGAACTGAGTTACAGTTGCATGTGCTAGGAATCAAACTCATGTGCTCTGGAAGAGCATTCAGTGCTCTTAACCATGGACCTGTCTCTCCATCACTCGTTGGCTCTTTTAAATTATCTGAATGGCTTTAAATGACAAGGCTATGTGGAAGTATTTGAATAGTCATTAAACCTTTTAAATCAATATAGCAAAATATATTTTCTGTTAATATGATCAACAAAACCATCTTGGGTTTTTAAGCTCAGTAGAAGGTCACAAAGCAATATTTTCATTATTTATCACAGTTAAGTCCAATGCTGCCTTCAGAAATCAGAAAGAAATCAAATCCTTTACTAAAAGTGTATAGCTTGAAAAGCAAAAGCCCAAAGGTGCTTTGTAGTTTTTCCTGCTCCAGCAAGAAAAAGGCCTCCTGTTTACTCATTTTGATAGCATCTGTGTGATCTGCATGGTCCTCAGATGGGCTGGAGGCTCCACCAATTCTACTCTGTAAAAACCCTAACTGAGTATGTGTTCACTTTCTTATATTTTTGGCTATGAGCCCAGCCTTTAAAGGCTGAGCCATCTCTCCAGACCATGTGTTCACTTTCAATACACGGCTACCATTAGATTCAAGATCGTTTGGCCCCAAAAAGTTAACTTTTGGTAGACAACTGAGAGACATGGGAAAGGATCTGAGAACTCTGCAGGGGTCAGAGGTGGATACAAACATGCTCAGATTAGGTGGAGATCACAGAAATGCACATTACCCCATTTTTAATGTTTGTCTCCCACCGCAGCGACATGTTTCTGAGATCAAATAGCTTGATGTCCCCATTGTCATAGCCAGCACAAACAACACGCTCTTCTTGATTATAAGCATTGCCTGGAAATCAAGATACAGTTCTGGTCTTTATAAATGCAAGGTGAAGGCTGCTAGGAAAAACTGGTACAAAATACACATATAACTTGGGACATATCTACTGTGAATAATTCCACTTGTCAATCTTGACAGAAAGAGTATTTAAAAAAAATGCTTACTAGAAATTCTATGACAAAAGTCTACTTGAAAGTGTTTACTGGACTCTAAATAGAAAATAAATGCTCTCTCTGGTTGGGATATGGCTTAAGGCTTGTCTAGCAAGTACAGACACCCATAATCAATTACAATACCTGCAAAGACAGACCAGCTACAGCTTACATATCGTAGGGCCTGAGAAGATGAATATGCTTATGTTTCTTTTCATTCCTTGGTATTAATGACACATGAATGAAACTGCTGTTTCACACTGCTGGTGGAACTTTTCAACAAACAACATCTTTCCCTCCATGATCAATCCCGAAACACAGACATCTTGAACAAAATCCTTTTCCTTGCTCATTTGACAGATACAGAATTGCAAACACTATTTATTCTGTATCTGTCTTATGAATCCCTTTCATTGCTCTAAACCTTCTTTACCTAAACTTCTGAACTCACCTCCACTATGCCTTTCCCAACCCCCTAGGGCATCTCACTGGTGATATCTGAAAGCTCCCCATGCACACAACTTCCAGAGCAGACCACTCTCTCCAATCCACCCTAACATCTGTGGCTATGGTGGCTATGGCAACTGTGGCTAGAGCCATCTCTGTGTCTACTTTCTCTACCATCTCCTTCTAGGGTACTTTGAAGTTACTCTCCATGTTGAAAATGTTCTCTCAATTTCAGTGATGGGAATCCTATGAATCCTTGGTGTGAGAGCAACATGATCTCCCCCCCACCCCCATGTCTCTCTGTATAGACAGGTGCCTCCTGCAATATTTTATTACTTATGATTTATACTATAGGTAAAGTGTACACCAGCCCTTCTTTACAAACCCATACGCTTAAGGGCTCAAATATAACTCAGTTTCACTATTGCATGTGCATAGTATAGTAACAAAAAAAAAAAAAATCTATTGGTCTTCTTGCAGCGCTCCTGTCCCCTCTGGGTCCTTCTATTCTTTCCCCATTTTTCCACAAGACTCCCTGCGTTCTGCCCAATGTAACCTGGGCCCAGGGGGCTTACGGAACAACAACCAAGGACCATGCATGGACTCAACCTAGGCCCCTTACACATATGGCCAACATGTAGGTCCCCTAGAAAAGGGAGAGGGAGCTGTCTCTGACATGGACTCTGTTGCCTGCTTTTTAATCACTTCCCCCTGGCAGGGCTTCCTCACTAGGCCACAGGGGAAAAAGATGTGTTAAGTCCTGATTCAACTTAATGTGCTGGTCTGAGATGGTAGGGTGGAGGCTCACCTTATCTGAGGAGTGGGTGGTGGGGATAGGGGGAAATAGGAGGGCCTAAGATCGGGATGTTAAGTGAATAAATAAATAAATTAATTAAAATTAAAAAACCCAGCCAGGCAGCAGTGGCACATGCTTTTAATCTCAGGAATCAGGAGGCAGAGTCACACAGATCTCTGTTGAGTTTGAGGCCAGCCCGGTCTACAGAGTGAGTTCTAGGACACCCAAGGCTACACAGAGAAATCCTGTCTCAAAAAATCAAAAAGACAAAAAACAAACACACAAACACTAAAGTCAGGCATGGTGGTGCACATCTATAGTTCTAGCTCTTCGGAAGGTTGAAGCAGGAGTATTACTTGAGCCCAGAAGTTTGAGGCCAGCCTGAGCCACATAGTGAGATCTTGATTTGTCTCAAAACAAAAATTAAAAATAAAAACAAAAACAAACAAACAAACACACACTACAAAAGGTAGGGTAGCACATTCCTTAATCTCGGTACTTGAAAGGCAGAAACAGAAAGATCTTTGCCAGTTTGAGGCTAGCCTTGTCAAAAAGAAAACACAGGTTTTGAACTAAATATGGAGGTCCATCTAGCAGTACATGCCTGTAATTGCAGATACCTGAGAAGGCGAGGCTAGCCTGGGCTCTGGCGCATATCCTTTACAGTCAGACAAGCACCAACACTGACAAGGTCAATATGACTGTAAATATATTAATAAAGGGTCACAGTCACCAGACTTACAAGAAATAATTATGTAATGACACAACTATTTTCTAGAAAATCAACACTATATAAGATGTAATATGAGATTTTTTTTAGGTTTTCATTTGCATTTGAGGCTTTGCTTAGCCCTGTTAATGGTATCTGCTACTAAACTAGGTCAATATAATAATAGAAAAAATTTTCAGCACTCAATAATCTATGCACATTCCAAGAGCTTTAGTGATACTGCCTTATTGGCTCCTCAACACTATTAGCACCACTGTATAAATACAATAAGTAAGATACAGTGAAGTACGGTGACTTTCTCCAAGCCACACAATAAATAGCACAGTAAATATGCAAACCCCAGCCTGAGACTGACATTAATGACTATGACACTTGCCTGGACAAACTCTGCCTACGGAGCAGTCTACAGATCAGACAGACTACTGGAGATCACTGGTAATTTCCTGAAACACGATGAACTTCAAACGCAGTATCTTGTCAGTAACTTACCAAATGCCACCGTCCAACAGTCTCTCTTGTTCTCTCCTTGTGCAGGCTCCATGTTAGCGACAGGGTCATCTTTTTGCCGTGGGTCCCACACCTTTACAGTGCCTGTCATGAATAAATGGGAGTTGGCAAAGTTCAATAGTGACTGATCATGTTTCCTGTTTGCATTCTCTCTCCAGTTTCCTGTACATGTGGCAATGCACATGTTACAACATCTGAAAGCTTTCATGTTTTTCATGAAAAGCTTATTCATGTTTTTCTAACTTGAAAGTAGTTAGGTTGTACTTGATATCAGACATAACCCACATACTAGTATTAGAAATGATTCCTAAACTAATAGGTACAGAGAAATCCTTGTGCTCCTAGGCTGTCTGTAAGTTATGATTGACAAGTCAAAGACAAGAAGTGTGCAATTCAAAACATGCCTTATTTTCTTGGGTACTCAAACTCATGCATGTATAAAGGATAGTGGAAGTGTCATTTTAACTTTATGTTTTCCTTACTACATATATAACCATTGGCATTTTTCTTATTCAGAAGAATAAACACTGTCAGTACATTTTTATATGGGGTTTAGAGTGCCACTTCAACTGCTGAGGGTGGGCAGGTCATGCCAGAGAGACCAGCTCGTATGAGGTCCCAGCTTCATTTGTTGACACAGAAGAAACAATTCCACCTGTTCCACATATAAGTAAGCTTAACTTTCCCGCATAAAATAAGAGAAAGGAACTATTAAACAAAATTAACCTAAATTAAATTTCAGCCCTCTTACATCAATTCATATTTTATGATTACTAACTAGTGTCACAGTCTACAATCAACATAAATGCACAAAATGAGATAGCTAAAAGGCATATAACTGAGCAAGAACAGGGAAGGGCAAAATAAATCCCTGAAAAGACAAGAAACCTGAGATTTAACTCCAGGGACAGCACTGCTCATTAGAAAGGCCAGCCCTGTGGAGGGGACACCCATATATCTAACAAAGATTACCATCTCGGCTAAAGGGTAACACAAGTTGCTAAGATCTTAGCAAGTTTCTCACACTTGAATTAGCAAAGAACATAAAAACAATTCATAACAAAAAAATTAACTAAGAGGGAAGCATAGGCACTAACACAAGTGGAAATGGAGTACAGTTTCTGATCTACAAACTTAGAGAAAAGAAAAATCAATGACATCCAGTCCAGTCCTCATCCACTATAGCTGGCCAGGTAAATGGGTACTATGGGTTACTTAGAAATACATTTTATAAATCATAAAATATCCCCAAGCAGTTACATACGTCACAATAATCACTTCTTCATAATTTTAAGCCACTCTTTCAAGAATACCCAAAAACCTTAAAACACACTAAATGGTTAAGTACAGTAGTAGAGCCACACAATTGAATTTTACAGTCATTAATAGAGGATCTGAATATGACAAACTATACAGCAGATGTAGAATCACAGTGGCTGTGGCAGCACAATGAACTCTCACCATCTTTCCTTCTGTGAAACACTACTCCTATGAAAAAAAAAGAATTTTAACACACTGCTGGGCTCGAGTAACTAGAAAATACTTCATTTTCTTTTAAAATAACCTCTTTAAAATACATCTCCATGTGAAGCAACAAAACCTGGGACCAACGTGGTCATTTAGACCTGGTCAGTTGGTGCCTACAGAGCGTCTACAGTGCTCCGTGGACAGATCACAGAACATGTTTTCAGGTAACTGTCGATCTGACAGTTTCCTAAGTAGTAACTCTGCTTTCTAAAGGGAGAATGAGGACCTGCCACCCATATCACATCACTGGCTGCTTCAGAAACCCATAAAGACACTGTCAGTCCTTCAAAGTCAGTTCATTATTAGTTACTGAACTAACTCCACAGTAAAATATTCAGGGCTGGGCCTCTACTGGGAAAAAACGAGGATGTACAATAAAAGTTGTCTGTTAAAATGCAGACGCACAAATGCAGAGTCAAGCCGACCAAAGATGATTCCATGTGCAGAGGATATAGCAGCCCACAGAGGTCTCTATTAACATTCGTTTAGTACTTAAATACAATGACTCACCATCTCGGCTGCCAGTCACAATTTCAGGTGCCCCTTCCCCAATTCCAAGTCCACCTATACCATCGATAGTATTTATAATTTCTTTGTGGCCCTTCACAGAATACACTGGCATCTCTGGAGCTTCCAAATTCCTAAGCAAAAAAACATAGCTACTTATCGCATGTGGCCTAGAAATCAATTCAAAATAAAATAAAAAAACAAAACAACTCAAAATGGATCAAAGACTTTAACCTAAGAGACTGTGAAAATGCTAGCGGAAAGCATAAGTAAAACCCTAAAAGATACAAGCATAGGTAAGGGTTCTCTGAAAAAGACTTGAATAGCACAGGAAATAAACCCAGGAAATGGACTAATCAAGACACAAATGGGTAAGGTTATACATAAATTTTACTCAGTCATGAAGAAAAATGAAATCATGACATTTGTGAGAAAATGGACAGTAGTGTTAAGCAAAATAAGCCAGAATGGAGAAAACAAAGACTCATGGTTCATATTATAATATGGAAAAAAATTCAAAATTATATGCATATACATATGTGTGTAATAGGCCAACGTGTCGAAAGGCCAACGTGGCTCAGCAGATGAAAGCACTTTCCAGAAGGCCCAACAACCTGTTTTGATTTCCACGTAGCAAACGGTGCAAAGAGAAAGCAGACTCCCAGAACTTGTGTTCTGCTTTCCACTACAGAGAGACACACAGACACAAACACACAGACACTAAATGTGAAAAAAAAATTAAACAACAAAACTCAAAAGGGGATCAGAAGGAATGAAGTGGGCATGTACATAGTAAGAATGTATCAAAAAAAAAAAAAAAAAGGAATGTATCTAGTCAGGTACGTGGAGGGGGAGATGTCTTTAACAGCATCCCACGGGAGGGAGAGGCAGACAGATCTCTGTGAGGTAGAGGCCAGTTTGCTCTATGAGTTACAGGGCAGACAGGGCTATGCAGAGAGGCCCTGTCTCAAAACAAAACAAAAACAAAAAAATCCCACAAACAAGAATGTGTCTATATCTGGAGGGAAGAAAACCTGCAACCAGAAAGCAAGGGTAGACAGGAGAGGAAAACCAGTAAGAAAGAACAAAGTATACTGATGCATAGATACATAAATATATGAATAATGAAAATCCACCGCTCATATTAAGCCCCCAAATCCTCCTAAAATAATGAAAAATAAACAAAATACAGAAAATAAGACACTGCCTTCTCTTTCCATTTCTCTGAAACTCTATGACAAAGAATGTAAAACGATGAATAAATGTGATTTAATAACTAAGTAGTTAAAGTAAGGAGAAGTTACAGTATCTTTGATTTTATGTTATGATTCTAAAATAGGTAAATATGTGAATGTAATTTAACTATAAAATAATACAATCTAAGAGACAAGCAAAAAGTCTTATTAGGCTGGGTGTGGTGGCACAACGATCTAACCCTTCACTGGGAGGCAGAGGCAGCTCAGATCCCTGTGAGTTTGAAGCTCCCCTGGTCTACAAAGCGAGCACCGGTCCAGCCAGTGCTGCACAGTGAGCCCTACCACCAAAACAAGCAGCTCATATCAGAAAGGAGCCAGCAAACAAACAAATAAATAAATGTCTGTATACTTTAAATGTCAAAAATAGACTTTTTTAAAGTAAAGAGAAATTTGGATTCATTTAACTTTAAATATTAACAAAGAATTAACATTAACAAAGAATTTTCAGTAAGATTTATATAAAGGCAGCAGGCACCACTGTGATTTTTGTTCATTCAAAGTACCTTTTTAATAAGTTGTTCAATAGACATTTTCCTAAAAAGTCATGTCTAGAGCTTAACGCATTAAATACTAACAAAAATTTTAAGTGGGAGTTCTGCTTGGAAAGAAATTAAAACAAGTATACTGCTCTGTAATGCCAAGTATCTTACTAAAATGGCATTAATTACTAATCCCAAACAACTTGTAGATGGGTAAGAACTGGTAACATTGTTCCAAGCTCTAAAGCAAAGAGCTTAGCATCCTCTTTTTTTTTTTAATTAATTATTTATTTATTTTATGTATGAATGCTCTATCTGCATGTATATCGGCATGCCTTGGGATCAGATCACATTACAGATGGCTGTGAGCCACCATATAGTTGCTGGGAATTGAACTCAGGACCTCTGGAAGAGCAGAGCAGTGCTCTGAATCGCTGAGCCATCTCTCCAGCCCACTTAGCATCTTTTTAAACCTTTTTCCTTAACTTTTGAGGATATAATTATATCATTTCCCTCTGCTTCCCCAGCCCAAACCCTCCCACAGATCTCTTGCTCTTTCACATTCATAGCCTGTTTGTTTGTTGTTATTATGTGCGTATATATACTCATTCCTAAACATACTATGAAGCTGAAGACTTTAAGTGGACTTTGAATATGACAAACAGGTACATTACAACGCAGTCATCATGATTTTAGTTACTTTCAGAAGAAATTAAAACATCTGGAAGAAGCATTTTAAAATTAGAATTCTCTTTCAAAAGGGTAATAAGCCTATCAAAGAGCATTTATCCCATCAGTATGCTGTTTAATAATCTCACCATACATGAAGATTTCCATCAAAATCTCCAGTAGCTAAGTATCTCTGCTGCAAAGACGTGGCACCAAATGTTCCACATTTAATGGGCTTAGCCTTTTCAATCTGGACAGAAAGGAGAGAGGGTATTTTACTTATGTAAGCAGTTATGTATAATCACAATGTCTAAAGCTTTGCTGTAGGGGCTAGACACATTATACATAAAAGCAATGAAAACATTTTCTGATAAAATTATACTCTGTCTTTAGCTAATTTTGTATATACATAATTTAAAAAGCAAATCACTATTAAAAAAAAAGGTTTTTTTTATTTGAGATAGGGTCTTACTTTGTAGTCTTGGTTGGCCTTGAACTCAGAGCTCCTAGGTCACTGTCTCCTAAGTGTGAAAAGAGTTTATTTACTTTTAAATACTGTGTATGGATGTTTTGCCTTCAGGTATGTCCATGTACCATGTGCATGCGGTGTCCACAGGAGCTAGAAGAGAGCTGTAAGTAGTTGCCACCTGTGTGCTGGGAATCAAACCCAGAGCCAGTGACCTCTGAGCTATCTTTCCAGCCTGATATTTTGAGACAAGGTCTCTTTCTTTGTTGCTCAAGCCAGACACGATCCAAACTGACCTAGAACCCAGAGATCCTTTTGTCATGGGGTTACAGGAGACAGAGAGGGATAGAGAGGATTGTTTTCTTGTTGTTCTTACCTCACTGAAATAACCAAATGTTACCAACTAGAGCCCCATGTGGTGGCTCACTCCTGTAGCCCCAGCACTCCAAACATGGAAGCAAAAGGAGAGTTGTGAGTTCAAGGTCTGGCTAGGCCACATAGTGAATTTTAGGCAAGGCTAGGCTAGGCTACTAAGAGACCTTTAAACATTTTTCTCTCATAATCCTGAAAGCTCTACCATCTCAGCTGGTGTGCAGATAAAAAGGTGCAGGATGTACTGTGCAAAGCTCTCAGCAGAAATGCAAATACAATGGAGACTTTGTTTCCTGAAGGCTACAGAAACAAAGATGTTCATCAGCCTCTTGTGGCCCTACCACTGAATGAGGGCATAAGAAAGTCCCCTTAGCCCTTCACCACTAATTCTTGGAACAGAGAAACCAACACCAGAGCATTCTTCTCTGTCCTCCCTTTTCATACTCAGGGATTTCATGTGCTGTGTATCTAAGATGCCATTTGCACACAATTATGGAAACTGTTTCCATGTACTGAGCATATGATAACAGATACCATCCTACATGTTTTATTCTAGAAAAGACCATCTTTTTTCTTAACATATACATGGCTATTAGAGATCTGTTATCAGTGTGTATGTATGTATGTGTGTGGGTAGGCATGCACATCCATGCAGAAGTCGGAAGAGAACTCCAGGTATCCTGATCTATCACTCTGTTTTATTCTTTTGAGACCGGGTTTCTCACTGAACCTAGAGCTAAGGTAGCTGACAGCAAGCCCCAGGGATCTTCCTGTCTCTGTCCTCTTTAGTGCATAAGTTACATGTGTGCAGGTGTGCCTGGATTCTTAGATGGCTGCTGTAGATTAAAACTCGGTCTTCATGCTTGCACAACAAGCACTCCCTCAGCCATGCCTGCAGTCCCCGGGACACCATTTTCAAAATGAGAAGCAATGTCTCTTGCTTTTATCCCAAGAGTCAGGCAGATTTCAAGCTCTTTCTATTAAAGGAAGCTGCCTCCAGGGAAATAAGTGATTTCCAACAAACATTTTATTACGCAGCCTCATTCTGCAAGCCTATCTCTCTCTCTATATATACACATACATATATATATAGTCTACGCTTGAAAAAATAAAAAAAGGTGCAATAATGAATTAAGGCTAATTTCAGATTTCTTGCCTTTAGCTTTAACCCTCATTCATTTTTTTTTTTTTTGCAAGATAAATATATAGTATCATGATTCCCTCAGGATTTCTGTTTTTTTATCAAAGAAGCAGAAACTTAGATGTCACCAGTTTATTGTTCAAGAATCAGACTCAAAACATATTCAGTAAAAATAATTTAAAACATCACAACGTGTCTCCTGCCTACAGTGTGGCTACACTTTGCTCACAAGAGCTGGGCTCTGTTGTACACAGAGCTCTGAAAGCGGTCGTGTTTCCTCTGCTCTGACACTCACAGAAACCAGTAACTGAGAGGACACCATGAAAGCATAGATTTGTAGAGCACACAAATGAACTCTCCTTTTAGCACTGTTAAATATTTTTTCCTATGGAAAGATGAGTAGAGTCCAGTCGTAACTTTGTAGAAAACTGACTGGTTAAAAGTGAAATAATAATCTATTTGAGTAAAAGTGTTTCACACAAAATCACCGTATGAAATTGATAAATATATAATATTAAGTATGACCATCAATGAGTTTACCTGACCTAGATTTTTTTTATAGTCTTTGCCAGAAATGTATGTCAGCATGACTAAAGAAGCCCATGATCAATAACTGCCATGAGAGCTATTTTTGTTCTGCCTGTGGGTGGGCCTACTGCAGCTTGTCAGTACTGCCTCCTCCACATCCTGGCTCTACTTAATCAACATTAAAAGGATTAGTGAGGCAAATGCTAACAAATGTGCCTTCAGGAGCACAGGAGCTAAAACACCAAAACTTGACTAGCTCACTACCAATTTTCACCCATGATTTCATTTTTGGGGGCTGTCTTTGTCCATGTGGTACCTTTGTGTTCATCGGGGAAACGTTGTCCTTTATAAGTTGACGTCTCAGATTATCCTTATCCTTATTCACTATCCTTGTGAAGTGACACTTGGCTAGCCAATGTTATGTGGCCCCAAAACTGTACAACAAGGGAAAGAAGCCCTGCCTCTCATTTCTTTATTCCTATTATTTTGTGTGTGTGGGTATCTTTTCTGCAAATATGCCTGTGCATTAGATGCATGGCTGGTGCCAAAGGAAGCCAGAAGAGAGCATCAGGGCCTCTAGAAATGAAGTTACAGACAGCTGTGAGCTGCCATCTGGGTTCTGGGAATCAAACCTGGGTCATCTGGAAGAGAAATGAGTGTGCCTAACCCCTGAGTCATCTTTCCAGCTCCCTACCCTCCGTTTTTATTTGTTTGTTTGTTTTTTGAGATAGGATCTCACTATGTAGCCCTGGGTATTCTGGAACTATGTAGACCAGCTGGTCTCAAACTCACAGAGATCCTCCTGCGTCTGTCTGCTTCCTGAGTGCTGGTATTAAAGGTGTGTGCCAAACTGCCCAGACTCCTGCCCTCCACTGTAATCAATTCCTTTAGCAATAAGATAAAGCACAATACAGGCAATGGCTGACTTGCTTCTTTTGTTAACTTGGGTGCATGGGCTTTGGAGCAAATCTTGACATAATCCTTCATAACAAAATGGGTATGTCTCTTAATATACAGGTTAAGTAATCCACCTGGCCCAGCAGTTCTCAACTCTGGAACTCACTAAGGAAGGTCACATTTCTAGGGGTGGCAGCAAGCCATGGGTATTTTAAATCTTGTACACAGCCATCAATAGCAACCAGACACACACAGAGGACTTTGATATGGTGAGAACCACAGACTACATGTTTAATCTGCATGCTTTTCTGCTGCACCCCAAGCAAATATAATATTAAGTTCTGAAAGATGCTTTGTTTCTAATATTTTACTTGATTTTTTTAGAAGTAAATGTTCAAATACCTGTGGTTCTTTTTTTAGCACGGTACCTCTATAGTAGTCTCAGTCATCACTCATGGAATGAAAAGGATGCAAAAATACAGATGCTTTTACTCCTAAGGTTCAGACCTTGTGTGATACTTTCTTTTTTTTTTTTATTCCTACCTATATTTTCTATATGTTCTCTTATGAACACATATTACTTTCACTACAAATAAGTAAATAAATAAGAATTTTCTAGAATACTTTAGAAATTAGAAGAGATGAACACTATTTCACTTGGAATAACTTAGTGAGATATATAAAAGATTGTAATTCTTGAAAAAATTAAAAGATCACAAGTCTATAAATGTTTTCTGGCTGAGTGTTGACTGGCATTTGTTCCTAATGTTTCACTTTCAAGTTTCTGTTATGCCAATGTTTCCCATGATCACAGTCTTTAGCCCATACACTGGCTCCCAATCCCTACACCAGTATTTAAAATTCCAAAGTTCATTCATTCCCTATTCTTTTAATATACATGTATTGAGTGGCTGGTCCTTAGAAATCACATTGTCCTTGCTCTCCACTGTATGAGCCAGATAATTGAGACAGACTTTATTTTTGGCAGAGAAGGTCTGTGCTACAGGAGTGAAATGTAAAGAAAGGTACCTTCCTGCAGAGATCAGGAAGGGCTTCCTAAATCAGATAATCTGAACTGGCCACTGGAACAGCATCAGGTGGCTGCAAGTTAAGTGATGAAGAACCTAAGGCAAAACAGGAAAGGCCAAGCCATGTATAGATTCTCCGAGTTGAATGCCTGGATACAGAGTAGGAACTAAACCTGCAAACTCAGCAGAGCTCAGGGAAGGATGGTGCTTCCCACACCTTCTCATGAATATTCATTCAAAATATCCTCTACCTGCCCTAACCTCTATCTCCTTCAAGCCAACTCTTTTCATAGTTTTCCAACCCTCAGCACCTCAAAGTGACTGCTCACTTGTTTCTGCCAACCAAATGAGAAACATTTTAAAATTGTAACTAACTATAAAACTGTTATTTGGCCACAGGTGAGCACTGTGGCACATGGTTTGTGATCCTAGCCCACTGAGAGGCTGGCATGAGGATTATGGATTTGAGGCTGGCTGGATAACACAGAGAACACCCATCTCAAAAAGAACAAAATGAAATGTTGGTTATTTTCATCATTCTGTAATTCGCTCACTGGCAGCCTTTTACAAAACCTATAAATCTGGTCTTGCATCATCCTCCGGAAAGTCCTTCAATGGTGTCCTGTTTTCCTTACAGGAAAAGGATAAATCTGTTAAATGTCTCACAAATCCTGCAACGAACGGTCCCTACTGAGCCCTCTTGTGTGTGGATGAGCTTTTTTCGGGAGCGGGGTTGTGATTGTTGTTCAGACAAGGTCTCAAACTGAAATTCTCCTGCTTCTACCTCCTGAACGCTGGAATTAAAGGTGTACATGTGTTTCATTTTTAAGGTTTTGTTTCTAAAATATAATAAACCATCTCCCGTCAGTATCACTGATAGTCCCCACGTACTGTTTCTTCTGGAAACTTCACATTGTAATCTGACTTTGGCCTAGTTACTTTCTACTTAACCTAAATCTGGAGTTTACTCTCATAGACCTGTGTATTAGAAAACGCATCTTGATTTACATTTATGCATTCTTGGACTGGCTGTTTAACTGATTGTCTCCCCCAACAGAAAATAAAATCCAGGAGATCGGTGACATTGCCATTCCCATGCCTGCGACTATCAGACATCCAAATGATAAGTTCTTGAAAGGATGTGGTCTCCAACAACTTCGTGGTGGGTGTCCCGGTGCCTCCTTTGCTTGCATGAAATGTGGATTTATTGCATATACCTACTAACAGACTATAACAACTGCAAACAGCCTAAGAGTTTTTCGAATATAGACATGAAAACTTAAAAACATTTCCCAAAAACCTTGCAATGGACTACTCCGAGCATGGTGGGTGGAAGGAGCTGGCAGTTAGCCAAGGTGCTACTTCCCCAGTGAGATTTGAGGATGCCAAAGTTTTAAGTCCGAAGTAGTTCTCAAACTGCAATCTCTTTTCTGTTTCTGCTGGAGCAAGGCTGTGGTAAAGAGAAATGCAGACCCTAGAACACGCACACCCAAACAGCAGTCCAAGCCTGCACCCACCTCCCGCAGCAGTTTTACGTCCCCGCGCTGGATCTCGTACACCTGGATAACGCCAGTGCCCCGGGCGAAGTTGCCCATCGTCACGAACTTGGCACTGCAGGGCACCCATTTGCAGTCGAACACGGTGTAGTTGAGGCCCTTTTGAATGTGGACAATGATCTGAGGCTTCTCGAAGGTGGTCATGGTGCCGACACAGACAAACACTAACCTGGAAACCAGACTGCAAACATCTCTGGGGCAGTTTGTCCCTCCCTAGCCGCACTCTACCCGGACGCCTTAGCAAGTCGGGCTTGGGTGCCTCCGGTAATGCCGGGTGGGCTGCTGAGACCGCACCAAATGCTTCTCCACACACGGCACACGCTGACTTACTGCCTTTACCACGACGACTTCACATAGACGCATCAGAGTCTGTGAATGCTTTGGCTGCGAGCGCGAGGGGGCACAGCGACACTGACTACCCGGCATATCCTAGGGCAGCCTCGTAGACACGCGGACCAATCCCGCCTCAGGACCCCGGCCTGGCCCCGCCTCGGCAAAGGGGATGAATCCTCAAGTTGATTGGCAGAACTTGGCCCATGCGCGGTAGAACGGCGCACGTGTTCAGCTGCTTGTAGTTACCGGGCTGCGACATGGCAGAGATGGAGACGCAAAACTCGGGGACGGAGGACGGCTTTACCCCCGTCACGCACAGAGGAGGCCGGCGGGCGAAGAAGCGACAGGCTGAGCAGGCGTTAGCGGGACAGGACGGTGACGCAGGCCGCATGGATACGGAGGAGGCGCGGCCCGCGAAGAGGCCGGTCTTTCCGCCGCTCTCGGGAGACCAGCTCCTGGTCGGCACCGGGGCGGGGCGGGTCCCGGGCGGCCTGAAGAAGGGTCGCCTCCCGTTTTGTGTGTAGGCCCGCGTCTCTCCGGCCTCCTGAATGTGTGTGTTTCTATTGCAGACTGGGAAAGGAGAAATGAGAAAAGTTCCGGTCCCAGCTAACAGATACACGCCGCTAAAAGAAAACTGGCTGAAGATATTCACTCCGATTGTAGAACATTTGGGGCTTCAGATACGCTTTAACCTGAAATCAAGGAATGTAGAAATCAGGGTAAGGAGAAGGTTAACCATTTCGTAGCACACAGCGTTCGCGCTTTCAGAACTGAAAACTGAGTGCGATTTCCCTTCGTAGAACTTAGTCTAGAGTGTCCCCCAACCCCCGAGTTTTAATGATTTGAACTTAACCGTTAACCAAATCCCTTCAAACTACATTCAAAACAGTCATTGACTGAAATCCTAACTTGGTTCTGAGATCACTCCAAAATATTGTCTGTCCTGTGACTGTCTTCCGTGTGTGTTGTGTTGATGAAAACAGGAGAGTGGTACACTGATACACGTTAAAAGGGGGCGCTGCAGGTACCTCCTGTAGTGTAAGGGCTGTCTACTGTCATATACTCTCTTTGGAGGAAAGAGAGTGTAAGAGAGTATACTGTCATATACTCTCTTTGAAAAATATAAATCACGTGTGTGTATATGTGTGTGTGTGTTTCCATTGTCTCTTTCAGTAGATCTGTGCCGGTTCCAAATTAATTTTCCAAGGTCACAGTGCTACTATTATGGTATTCTAACATCCTCAGTACCTCTAAGGGATAAAACCAAGATGCTTGACTGAGCCTGCATTTCAAGTAGGAGACCCAGCTGTGTTTATTTCTCATTTTTTGTTTGTTAGTTTGTTTGTTTGTTTTTCTGGCCTGTGTTTATGGTGACTTTGCTCTCTGAAGAAGGCCGTTTTTTCCATTCTCTTCCTACTTCAGATCCAGTCAGCTTTCAGGGTGTAGCCCAAGCACTTTCTCTCAGGAGGTTATAAATGTCTATTGTGCTTAGATGCCTTGTTTGTTGCGGGATCATTAGTTGTAGTATTTGTCGATAATGCTGTGTATCAGGTTCATAGTGGTCCTTGACATATACCACATCTTTGGTCTTTAAGGTATAATGTGGTTGATACAAACCCATCTACACCCATTCGCACGTGAGTGCCAGAGGACTAGGAAAGGAAAGTTTAAGACATGTACTGCCTTGGCCAGTCATCAGGCTAGAAGTGCTAGAAGGAACCATTCAAGATCTTCTGCTCTAACATGTTATATTAGAGATGAAAAAAACTTAAATCCTAGGATATTTATGGGACTTGCCAGAAGTTACACATAGGGTGAGAACCGGAGTTAGGTGCTTTGTTGTTGTTTTGCTTACTTCTGGGGAGATTTTGTTTTTGTTTGGTTTGTTTTTTGAGGCTCTAGCCCTGGCTAGCCCAGAACTCAAAAGAGATATGAATGGTGTGGGGATTGGAGATTGAAAGCATGTGTTTCCACACCCTGCTGGTATCTGTTTTTGAATGTGAAAAATCTTCAGAATCCTGTATGCTTTTAAATTTGTCATATGGGTAGTCTTGTCAAATGTGTTGTGAATTTGTGTGGGAGACCAGAGGGAATATTTTAGAAACTAGACTTCCGTTTGAGTTTTTAGTACCTTAATTTCCTCCTTCTGTGTTTATGTCCTATAACATTCAAGATCATCAAGGTGAAGCTTAGAGCTAGATGTGTAAAGCATACTATTTACAGTGGTGGGCGTTCTATGAATAACCACTATTTTTGCTGTTCAAGGAATTACTTGCAGGCAAGATTTTTACTTAAGCTTTTCTTGATTTCTTTAGTACTAGACTTGTTTCTTTGGGAAAGAACAGCATATAAATGGTCCTTTAAGACAAAACATTATGAGCTGGGTGGTGGTGGCGGCGTACACCTTTAATCCCAGTTCTCTGTAGGCAGAGGCGGGTGTAGCTTGGTGAGTTCAAGGCTAGCCCGGTCTACAAAGTGAGTTCCAGGATAATCAGGGCTCCACAGAGAAACCTTGTCTCAAAAGAACAACACTTGCCCGCTCCTGTCCTCCCATGCCTTGATGGAGAAGAGAACAGGACCCATCTGGATATTTAAAAGAGAACAGCGTGGGTTGAGCACTTGGGATGTGCTACTAACCTAGAGCAGTCAAAGTCTGTTCAGTCAGTTGAGAGGGTCTGTGTAGAACTCCCCAGCTTTGAGGGAGGAAGGTTTTTATTGTACAAATTAGAGTGAGTACTTATCTACTTAAACGAGTCTCTTAGAAATTGGGGGAGGGAAACTTTAATAGAAATACCATTCTAGTATTTTGTTAGAATGTGTTTTTTATTCTTTCCATATCTCTACCTCTTTTTTCAGACTTGTAAAGACACCAAAGATGTCAGTGCTCTGACAAAAGCTGCCGACTTTGTGAAAGCCTTTGTTCTTGGGTTTCAGGTGGAGGTGAGTGGTCTTATGAGACTTCAAAATACATATTGTGGACATTTCAATAGATGGGTCATATTTTCCAAACATTTGAGTCTTGTTATTGTAGTATCTGAATTTTAGTTACAAAAATGCTGTTCTGTTCACTGTTGTCTACCTGAAAAGGCCTTCATAGTGTTTCCTTTTGTTCCATAGGATGCGCTTGCCCTCATCAGGCTAGATGACCTCTTCCTAGAGTCTTTTGAAATAACCGATGGTGAGAACATCTGTCTGCACAGTCAGCCTTTGCATTTCTGAATACTTTATGTTCATGACTGTTACTTTTCTAATAGCTTCAACTGAGTTGTATTACTGACGACACTTTGCAGAAAATGTGTATTTACTGTTGCTCAGTAGAAAAAGTCAGTAGCTAGCTAGCCACCTGATATCTTGTCTTTCTTCTGTAGTTAAGCCCCTAAAAGGAGACCACCTGTCAAGGGCAATAGGAAGAATTGCTGGCAAAGGAGGGAAAACCAAATTCACCATCGAGAATGTAACAAGGACACGGATTGTTTTGGCAGATGTGTAAGTGTCTGTTCTTGAGAAAAATGTAATTTGATCTTACTCGTTTCAAAAGAGTCATAGCAGCTATATTTGCTGCATTCTTTTTTCTTTTTCTGCTATAGGACAATGAACCCAGAACCTTGTGCATTCTGGTAAAATACCATTCCCACCGCTTTATAATAGTTGTGTTTAACCCACATTTAACCCTTTCTTGCCACTGGAATTTTTTCGGTATGTGGTTCTAGGTTAGTAGTCACCAACCCTGAAAAGATGATGAGTTAGTTGAGGATATTTCAATAATTGTAATTCAGCAATAAAAGAAATATTTAGAGTCACTATCAAAATAATTTATTATAAGGGAAGATTTAAATTTTACCTCAGGCAAACCATTAAGGGAATTACAAGTAGTGGGTGTTGGAATGCTGTTGTGAGGCTTTCCTTTGGATTATATGTCTTTCGTGTCGGGGTACACACATAGCTTTTGTAATCGGAAGGTGAGTATTGCACACTGAGTTTAAAAAGTACTGTCAGTCACATGCAACTATACATACGATGATGCAAGCAGGGGTGAGGTACTCATGCGAAGCTGAGCGCTCCTTTTGTAGGAGGAGCCTGAGAGTGCTCCATATGAGGCCGGGAGTACCCCAGGATGTCGAAGCTGCCCTGTTCCCAGTGTGCTGTAAGAAAGACAGGTGATAAAATACAAAGTGGGCAAAAAGCAGTTGACAGAGGGTATGCAGATTTCATTTGATACCATTTTTCTCTAAACACTATTTAGGCTACATTAACGTAGACATTCTTTATATTTAAGGGTAACTTTTGTATTATATTGGTGGCCACCTACTTTAAGCCAAATGTATTATCATAGTTCTGTTCTGAAGGCTGAAACCTGGGGGGTTTTTGTACTGGGAATTTGAAAGACAAGAAACTGCAATATTTAAGATGGCTGAATTACCCTAAAAGTCTTAATTATTTGGGAAATTCAAAGCTAGAACCTACTTGCTAATGGACTTGTAGCTAGTTTGTTGTTAACTTTATATGCCACAAGTTTAAGAGTCTTAGAATTTACTGTAAAAGTAATTTCAAGTGTTGTTTGAGCTCAGTTTATATCTGTGAGCTTCACCTGTCAGCAGTGTCAGCCTAGTGGGTTACTCAGCATAGCACCGTCTTGTAGACCCGCCACACCCACATTGCCGTCATCAGAGTTGTGTCCCCCCCCCCCCCCGTCATTTTAATCAGTCCCAGTCAGCCACTGCTCGACTTCCTCTCGCTGGTTTTCCTGTTTCCAGAAACTCATGTCAATGGACGCCCAGTGTGTGTTCATTTAGCATATTGCTTTGAGTTTCTTGGTTTTGTTGGGTATAGCAAAAGTTTAGACAAGTAGCATTCTAATTTCAGTTGATGGACATCTGGGATATTTTATTT